CAATAGCCTGCTTTTCAAATTTTGACCTACAAAACCTCTGTATGTTTTAAAACTACCTGCAGACCAAACAAGCAATTCTAATAAAGACATAATTTTCTAAAATTATCGTGATTGAAATCACTTCTCCCTTTGCCATTTGCTTCTAAAAGGTCAAAAGCATGAAGCCGCAATAAAAAGCAGAAACTTCATTTTTTTTACCTCATCAGAAAGATATCCCCTAGTATTATGGTAGTAAGAGTTCCAGTTTCTGAATCTATCTACTCCTGCAAAACAAAACTTCTCTCTTGAAGCATCTTATTTATGTTGCAAAATCTTGGCATGGGACAAAAGTGTTCTTTGAGTTAACTCTAATTGCTCCAATTAAAATTTCTAAATCCTCCTCTGAGCCTGGAGCAGAAAAGGCTAAGAATTTTAACACACCCATAGAAAAAAAAGAATTTGTTTGCAAAACTTTGTCACAGCTCATTAAAATCCAGTCAGACAAGGGAAGCAAACTCTCTGCACTGGGCAGAGCTCAGCAGGGCTCTGCTGGGACATTTGGATGCCACATCCCTCCTTTCTAACCAAGCTCCTTGCTGCTGCTCCCTGGCCATCACAGGATGAGGTTTGGCTAATCTAAGTTTAAACAGACCTGTGTGACAGCTTGGTGTGCCTGCCTGCTGCTCTGCCACACCTCTGCCTGGGCAGGCAGAGAAAGGAGTGCTCCCAGACACTGAGCGCAATTCCAGGGAGAGAGTGGGCAGCTTGACTCCCAACAGCCACAAAGAGGGGTCAGTCCTTGCAATAAGGCATCCTAGGTAACTGTGATGCAGCTCACAAACAGCACTTTGTGGGGTTCCATTTCAACAAGCACTCAAAAAAAGAAAGGAATAATAGCTTTTGCTGCCACAGCCTCTTTCCTTAAGCTCATTCTGGATGAGTGCCCTCATGAACCACCCATTTCAATGCCTGTTTTACATACAAAACCTCCTTTATTTGCTAAGCACTTCATCCCTAACTCCTTCATTCAGTTTTGTACTCAGCTGGAATAAAAATCCATCTTGTTTGATTGGGCCTAATTACTAAAAAAAAAAACCCAAAACAAAAACAAAAACAAAAAAAATCAAATCAAAACTGTCATTTACTACTAAACAGTTCCTGGACACAAAGTATAAAGCTCCTGTCAGTTCTTCCCTCATTCCACACTACTGTAAGTCATTTACTACAGTTTCTGGACACAAAGTATAAAGCTCCTGTCAGTTCTTCCCTCATTCCACACTACTGTAACATGGAAGTTTTGACTCTAGAACTGCCTTCTGAAGAGAAAAACCTTCAGGATAAACAGCCTTCTTTCTGTTTCCAAATAAATGCTTGTAGTCAGCCATCTACACTTACAGTCCTTGTTGGACTGTCCTTACAAAACTGAGTCTGCCCACAGTACTCCAAGCATTTGGAACACCAGGTGTGGATACAGTCACATCAAATTCTGCTCTGATATCTGGGCTATTATCTGTGTAATCCATTTCCAATCAGTGCATCTAGCACTTTGGGAAGTGGGGAGCAGGGGGGCTGTCAAAAAGAACACAGCAAGCTTGGTTATCCTTGGAGCTATGGGCCACCACTGATAATTCTGCAACAGGCAGGTCTGGGACACAGAGGCAGCAGTTAATGCAGCTTGGGAGCTATTCTGGAAGCTGCAGTCCAGCTGCTGGATTTCATCAAGTATTTCTTCCTGGTATGAAAATAATTTTGTTTTTGAAGGTTAAGTCTAGAATACCAACAACAATAATTGTCACAAAGACTGAAGAAGGGGTATTCAAAATAGCAGCCATCTTTTAATAAGCTATGAAGCTTAAGCTTGTTTTCCAGGGTAGAGGAATGTGATGCAGCCACACTGCTATCTGCTGAAGTCAGGGCATTCTGATGTTCAATGAGACATTTAATTATTTGTGTTAATGAGAGAATGTCCTCTGTATCAGTAGCTGAATACATCCTCTGCTGGATATAGTAACTTTCCCATAGACTTAGGTGAATAATTTCTTGAGATCCTCAGAAGTCAGGGCAATTGGGAAAAGCCCAAGAGAGTCAAATTGCTTAAGAAGACACTTCTCAGCAGCTGTTGGAGAATCTATTTTATAATCTGGATTTGGGAGACTGAGACAGTGCCCTGGGAGGTGATCAAAAATATCTGATGTCTTTTATATGAAGAACAATTAAGCAGCACTGGATTTTTCCTGCATTAGAAAAAGGGATGACTCGGAATGGATGTAACAGCCTAAAATGGTGAGTGGCACACAGTTATAATCTTACCAGAACCACAACTCTGACCTCTCTTAGTATTTATTTTCCTTATGAAATTCATGCAACCTTTATTACAATAACGGCAACAGCAAAACTGAAGAAATCAATTAATTCTCAAGGTTTAATTTTCAAGGTCATACTGCTGGCCACTGCCTGCCTGAAAAACTGTCTGATGACCTTGAGTCTCAACATTACACTTGGAATTACACGTAGGTTTTGAAGTCAGAAAACTGAGGGATACCTTTCTGCTTCAAAATATAAATCTTGAATATTATTTCCAGCAAATATTCTATCAGAAATCTGATCTATTAGAAACATTATTAGAAATAATCTATCAGAAACCCTTGCAGAGTCAGAAACAGTACTAGTGGATTCTGACATCTCAGAACTTCTTTTGCTTAAGATGGTCAAGAGTGCTACTAAAATTTTCTGCTGTGTTAGGACATGAAATATAAACTTATCTTCCACACTCTTAAGAATGCCTTTGAGATACTAAAGCTTCCTTTAACAGCAGTATTTAAAGAAGAGTTTAGCATGCCTTTCCAGATACTGGGAATGCTAGATATAGAACCATCAAGAAAGTAGATTCATTTCTTCAAAGCAGCTCAAAAATCCCATCATTAGTATCTGGGGCAGCAAAGGGCTAAAATAACCTACAATTATGGAAATACAGATGGACACAACAGAAGGTCAGCTGAGGAGGGTGATGGAGTCACACATAACAGGTGACACACCCAACAGGTGACACACCAGGAGTTTAAGACTTTCCAAGTGTGAAACATGGACAGCAGCTGTGCACCACATCCTGCAGAGCACCTGGGTGCTCAGGCAGTCAGATGAAGTCAGCTGCAAGTTCCTCTGATTTTCTCCAGCCTGCCAGAGCCCCAGGCATGACACTTGAGTAAGTCTGAGATCACTTAGCTCAGCCTTGCTCAGAGCTCAAGGACACACAGGTACAAACAAAACCATTCCTGTTGTCACCCAGTTCCATAAGGAGATAATATGGCACCACGTTTTTGAGGCTACAAGGGTGCTCAGCTTCACAGCTGGATCCCACACCATATCCATGGTTTGAGGTAAAAATTACATTATGCCCAGCTTACACTTCTCAATGAATCAGGGCTGGGTAAGCAGCAAGAAGTAATTAATTTCAAAACATTTGATAAATCACATTTGCACTTTCAAGTCAGTAGGCCATCTCTACCTCCACTGGGAAGTCTTTTACCATAAAGACTAGCATTTAAATGGAGGATGATTTCCAAATATGTGTGAATGAAACAAGAATTCTTATCTTGCAACATCTACTCATCTTCAGCAGGACTGAACGTAACCGCATTCCTCAAAAATTGCACAGCTCCTGCCAGCTTTTCATTTATGCTGCTGGACTTAGAGCAGAAACAAATGGAAGCCATTTGAGGCTCTTCCTGAAATAGTTACAAGAATTGGAACAGAATTATCATTGGTTGCTAAATAAAGGAAAAACTGTAGTGCAGAAACTCTGGAATCATATTATCTTCACTCCAGACACTCAAGAGATTACTGCTCTAAAAAAATAAATCTGGCCTAAATCTGGCTCAGAAATGCAATGGGCTTTCTTATATAAATGCTTGCAAGAGCACAAGCACTATGGGTCAGACCCTGGAAACATATGAATAAGAGGTATTAAGAGGTATTTATGTGTTGCATACACTCATCTCAAAAACTCTTCCAGGCCTTGCTTTCTTGACTTCTTAGAGAGGGGCCTTAAATCTTGTATACCCACAGAGCTTCCCAAAAAATGGTGAACCATGAGATAGACACCAAAGTGAAGACCAGGTCATTAGAGTCATACACATAGTAGACATGGATAGCTATCAATTCATGCCTTCAGTCGACAGATGTAAAATAATCTTTACACAGAATCTTTATCACTACCGAATCCATGTATACGCATATTTATCTGTGCATCTACACAATCCATGCTGAATTACCAGCCTTTTAGAAGTTAATATTCGATTACTTTAGGAGGCTGGTTGACAACAGGAGAATGCATTTAATAATATCAAAAAATGTAACGACACTGGCTACACAATAACTCATTTCCTTTCATTTATTTTCCTTTGTTTTACTAAAATATTTGTATTCCACATAGACTATATTTTGTTATAATTAGTTTTAAATGATTAACAGTGAAGAATGTCTGCCACTGTATTCTTTTAAGGTACAATATAGACATGACAATAGTTTTTCTCTTTTCAGAAGGATGGTGAGAAGGTGTTACACCTATGTGTGCAGCAGTGTCCCTTTAAGAAATCTCTTTTTGGCTGTGCATCCAGGGCAGCTAATAGTTTTATCAAATACCCTTCACAGCAAGATGACTGTTTCCATGGAAACTGTTGAGCAATCATCCATTACTCTTGCAAAGATTTCTCTTTCTGCTCTCACCTAAACACAGGTACTACTTTCTCTCTAACTACAATAGAACAGAAGAATTCATTTTATAGGCTTTAGGACAATTAACCTCCAGAGTTTCCTATGGAGCCTACAGGGAAAGTGGGGCCCCCAGCACAAAACCCCAAAAGGTACATGCAAGGAATCATAAAGAAGTTTTAAAACATGCACAAATCGAATCTAATGTAAAATACAGCTTACAGAGAGGATAGAAAATTCTCTCCTTGCAACTGTGAAACAGATAGGAGAGAGAGAGGAGTTTAAGACTGGAGATGAGTTTGGTCACTCACCTCTCTCAGCATGTTGTTTTCTTTTTCCTTCTGTTCAAGAAGGCTCTCCAAGTGGTGCACGTGCATCTCAGCCTCAGCCAACCGTCGTGTCCGCTCATGGTCTTCCTCAGTGGCTTTTGCTGACAGCCCTTTACTCTGCAGCATCTCCAGCAGCTTTTTGATGGACTCATCACGCGCATTTAAGGTCTGTTTCTGTGTCTCAATACGCAGCTCCATCTCCTCCAAGGTTTTCCGTAGCAGGAACAGCTCCTTGGCCTGGCGCTCGTGCTCCGCGTGCAGCCGCTGGAAGTTCTCCTCTGTCAGCTCTGCCACGAAGGGCTCGCTGCTCCTGCTGCTGCTGTCCTGCTGGAACAGCTGGTTCAGGTCCCGCTGGATCCGCAGCTCGTCTTGGAGAGCCTGGATAGTCATCTGCATATGCTGAAAGAGCAAACAAATTAAATCAGAGGATTCCCTCCACTGGAGAAATAAAGAAAAGAGTATGAGCCACATCAGACCTCCTAAACCACCAACCAAGAGGAAACCACCATGGTAACAGACCAACAATGGGTTTTTGAAAGCAGAATTGAGGTGGAACTGGGTTATACTACAGAAAGTTCAAGTTCCTCCTTCTATGCCTGGCAGAGGTTGCTTAGCACTTAGAAGACTCTTGCTTGAGTGACTCTTCCACTTGCATCAACTTGAGAGAGTGACTGATTCAAAGAGGAAAATGTCAGCAACTTGTGTCAGTACCCTTCCAAATGTTCACCTCCCCTACAGAACAATTATGCAGAAGAATACTCAGAATTACTATAGAATTGCTATCTTGGCAAAGCAGAGTGTTATTAGAATTTACATATCACCCACAAAACGTAATCACCTGTGAAGGCTCCCAAGCTCTTCAGCAGTAACTCTACACCTAGCACAGATTTCCCATTTGACATAGAGAAGAAACTTCAACTTGTAATGAAGAAACACTGGATAAATGCTGCATGGGGAAAGGGTCACATTGTAAAATTTAATGCATTTTAGTACAGAAGAGAAGTTAGCAGCTTGTAATGAAGAAACACAACTACAGAAAACTGCATAAATGCTGCATAGGGAAAGGGTCACATTGTAAAATTTAATGCATTTTAGTACAGAAGAGAAGTTAGCACCTCATGAGCAGGAATATGAAGTCAATCAAATGATCAGCAGTAATTTGTTGCTGTGCAAGACAATAAATCCTGTCTCAGTGACTGAATACAGTGGGTTAATATACTGGGACAATACAGGAGAAGCACAGTTTGCCCACAAAAATGTCCTCGTTTATATTTCGATAAATATGTTTTTTCTTCTCTGCAAGACAGAAGTATCAAGCCAATAACAGAGGAGTACAAACACTGCACAAAGATTTGATTACCAGAAATGAGATGCACACTGAGTGATACATCTCTTCTCCCTTAAGTGAGGCAGACATGCTTACAATTTAGTCTGAGTGTGAATAAGTGGGATGCACTGATCACTGGGGTCTACATTTATATTACAAAAACCAGTGTCTGATATACCGCTGTTTCCAGTATTCACTAGGCTAAGTAGTAGAATGAGTTACATTCTATGATCAAGCTTGATGCAGACACACAGTGGTGAGGTCTAAAATGTAAAGACGGTGCAAAATTAATGCTTTCTATAAATCCAAGTACTTCATTTTACTAAGTATTTGTAAAAGGAGAAACTAAGAAGATTGGGTTTAAGCATTAACCCAAGACTATGTTTATCACAATTCTTATGCAAAACGCCTTGAAGATGTTAAAAATCTGTCTGGACATGGCCCTGGGCAACAGGGTCTAAGTGGCCTTGCTTGAGCAGAGGCATTGAACCAGCTGACCTCCCACCAACCTCAAGCACACTGTGATTCTATGAAAAGACAGCAGATAGCATTTATAGCAGAGTTACTTACCTTTAATATGTTTTAGAAACACAAAGGGTTCATTTGGTAATACAGAATTGTGCATAAAGGCAGTCCAAACCCATTTTCTTTGCAGAAGTCAGTATTTTAGACCAAGTGCTTTCCCTCTATTTGTGCTCTGGCCCAAGAGCAGCTTTTCACAACCAAAGTTGCTGTCACACTGTCAGCTCACCTAAGGCCACACTGCCACTAAAGGGAACAGCCTTGCTGTTTGTCCTTCCTTAGGAGGATGGCACTGACAACAGGATCAAAACTTCATCCGATGGCTGAAAATCAGCCCCAGCAAACACCAAAGAAAATGTCTTAGCAGCCAGATCTCCAATTGAGGTGACAATGTGGCTACATCAGTGCTGATTCTGGTGCAAAGCAGGGGTGGCAGGGGCTGCCAGGAGCTGGCAGAGAAGAAAATGGAAACGTTCTTTACAGCATCAGCATAAACTGAAATCAGCTTAAATGCAAAGCTCTGTAGTTGGTTTAAGATGCTGTAATTGCCTTTTTTTTCTACTTCAATAACACAATATCTAGCAGTTAGTAATTTGGTTAATCTACAACTACACTTCAGGTTATAGAATCTGTGTGCAACATAGCATGGGTATATTAGGTGAGAGAACAAGTGAATTACTCTGTTCTAAAAGGTACATTGTGTTTATATATCGCTGGATGCTCAGATTTAATTTGAAGTAAGAGATGAAAAAATATCTGAAGGGAATTAATATGGACTTCGAAAACATTTTCAGAAATCACTTTCTTTTTAATTAAAGATCTCAACTTTCAGTTATTGACTGTGGTTTGGAGAAATGACAAAGTCAGAAATGCCAGAACCACGTCCAAGCCCTGGAACTGAGGCACTACAGGTATGCAATCAAAACCACTACATCTGTTCAATTAATGCATGTTGGTTGAGTTGTAAGAGAAATCTTGCTGCACTCATTAAAACATCTGCCTCATCTGTACCTATGCCCCACCAATAAAGTCAGTAGGACTACAACAGCAGTAGTGAGAAAATGTCCTCAAATTTCGTTACAATTAAACAGTAACCCCACTAGATGTAGCTTTACAATTCCACACATGAGTTAATTCCATTTGTATTTGAGCAGCCCTACTTATTCTCAGCCCAGCTGTGTGTTGTTCCTCCAGCTAACAAACAAATTCCCACATGCTTCCACCTGGCTCTCCACACGCTGCTACTTCAGCAGTTCCTTTCTCCCAGGCGAGGAAAGAGCTTCTTCTGAACAACCACATCATCGATTAAATGAAATTATTTCCTCTGCTCAATGTTGTCTCGGAATCAAACTTGGGTTATTTATAAACGTCAATGGCCTAAATCACCAAACCAAATTCTTACATTTTTGCCATCTGATCTGCTGTGAAATGTCATTTCAGGTTACACAAACAAAAACCAAGTCTCAGACCCACAGAAATTATTTCCCCTAAACATGGAAATGCCTCCCTGGAACTTTTGGGTCACTGAACCAAAATCTATTATATGATTCAAATACACAATGGGGGGGGGGGGGGGGGGGGAATTAATACCAGTGACAAACAGGATTTACTGATATCCATCACTCTGTGAAATAAAGACAAGGGAGTTTGGAATACCAGACAATCGGTCAGCAAGTGCCTGTAATTCAGTTTCCCAGGAAAAATGAAGAGGTGGAGTTAGTGGAAAAGTTAGAGCTGAGCTTAGAAATAACTCCCACTGTTATCTGAACTGCTGCTCAGTCGAGAATAAACTTTATTATGTGAAAGGTAACTGGAAAATACACCATAGAAAATTATTCTGTGCTTCTGACACCCACTCTTTTCCAACATGCAAAATGTATGCAAAATGGGTTCTTTTCTCTGCTTTCCAACATTTTTTAATGATTCTCAGAATAGAAAAATATTCTTTACAAGCTGGTATCATAACTAAAATACTTTTTCAGGTAAAATTTCTTGTCTTCTGTATAATTTTAAGAAAACCCCACCATTTTCCCCCTCAAGGAGCAGGCAACTTTACTAGCATCTCATCCATTTTTAGACTTCACTTTTAAATCAGCAACTATCCTAGAAAGGCAAAATATTTTCCAAGTTCGTGCAACACTAGCCACTGCTACTTAATTTCTAAGACCAGACTAGAGATCTCAAGAAAACTGAAAAATACTGTTGAAATAGTCTTATCTAGAAATAAACATGTAAAACTACTTTTAATACCACTGAGCTTCATTATGCCATACTGTAATGAGTTAGTAACAATCACGCTTTTGTGAAACAGTTAAATGCAGGCAATGTAATTAAAGTCAAAGCAATTATTGTGAACCTGTACTTTGCTTGAAATTTATTGCTCTTGTATCAAATCTTGAGGATTCCCTTTTTCAAGTAATGAAAACCAGTCTTTAAGCCTCACTACAGATTATAACTACATGTAAAAGTCACAAAGGGATTTTTGTGAGCACAGTTCTCTAGTTATGGTTATGTCCAACAAATTTTTCTCTTGACAGAGCTAAGCACCTTCAGGATCATCTCAAACAGAAGTCCTAAAAGGACATGGTGTAAACATAACCTCCTACACCAGGTGTTCCTCTGCCTGTATTATTTCCACAGGTCAACTTCCCAACCACAGAGCTGAGACAGAGTTTTGACTTTTATCCAGCAACCCAAAATTTACATCTCTAAGTAGCGGAGCATGATTCAATCTTTGCCTCCAGCTATCAGGACTCAAATTCACATTTCCCACACCTTGGCAGATTGGTGAGCTCCCAGATTACAGTAGGATGGAGAAGTTCCTGGAATGTGGTTCCCAAAGCTGTCCTGCTGCTGCATCTCAGGGTAATGCAGCTCACCTACAGCTGTACTGGTGAGAGCTGCAGGCAGCTCCTTTCATCTCTCTGTTGAAGCTTTTCCTTTTTGCATAAAATATTTAACGATTCAGTAGGCCTGACAGAAAATATTAAAGAGAGCACAGCTTCTTATTCTAATTGGTGGAACACATATGAACAGAAAGACCTGAATAGCAATACTTCCAACTAACTTAAATGTTTATCATCTCACCATTGCAAAGGAAATGGGGGATGTACATTTTAACTTTCTCAGTTAGACAAAGATATTTAATTGATATTCTACAGCCAAGACCTGTATTCTAACCCTACATTTTAGATCAAAAGGAGGCAGCCACTGCTACTACTATGATTTTGAAAGAAAGTATTAAATTGTGATATGCTTTTTAAAGAAAGGATTTCCAAACTCATCTTTGCAAGACAGAGCTTGACCTACCAAACTACAGTGTTTAATATTCCAATACGCATTTTTTCATTTGGGTTTGGATGCCTGATTTAGATTATTCATACTGCAGATACTATCTGTGTAACTACTGTAATCAGACATACAACTTATTTCATAATTTATTCAAGAAGTCTAAATGCCTAAATTAGACCTCTGGGTTCTGCAAGGCACCTTGTCACCAAACACTTCCATAGTTAAGTTCCCCTTAATCTCCTCTATTTAAATTCTAAGT